AACAAAAGCATAATGTTGTTCACTTTGACGAGCAACATACGTGCCCGACATGGACACCTCGATCGAGCTCCGCTGTCAAAGTACCCAACATGGCAGAACACCCAGACCGCGATGGGCAGTTCACGCCTTGAGGGTAGGATCCCGATCGCGGTCATACGCCCGTCCCGCGAATCCCTACTCTGCACCCTCGACACATTTCGAAGTGTGTCGAACCGATATTAGGGTCGAACGGGTATCTCCACAACAATGGTCGGACACATACATCCAAAGGTTATACCAAGTATTCAAATAAACAGTTATAAACAACGCAATTATAATATGCCGACCACAAGGGACGATGTTGTTAAAAATTACAGTTTAGGCACGACAACCACAAAACTAAAAGAATGATAGAGGGCATGCAAGCCCTGAAATAACAGCGGACACGCAGGCCCTGAAAAATGAATACAATCAAACTTCATCCTCCCCGTCGCTGCTATCATGGGGATAAAGTATCTTCCCGTCAACGACTTGGTTAAATGGGCCCGCCCCCTCAACCACTATCTCGACCCCCTGGGTTCAAGATCTTCAGCTGCTCGACGATAGTGTTGAAGCCGTAGCCAAGGGTATCAACCACGTCTTGTTCGAGCACGCAGATGCGAGCGATCAAATCTTCCCTGGTCTCCATGTTCTTCTCGGTATCGGTCTCATCCCCGGCCGGGGCAGTGATCCCTTCTAACTCCAAATTACGAGCGACCAGACGCTCGTTCTCTTTAGTGGCCGCCTCCAATTGAGGTCTTAGCTCATTTAAATCCTTGAGAAGTCGAACTTGGGCCTCAAACTTTGAATCGTGGTTGAGGATATCACACTTCAACTTCTCATTTTTGGCATTCAGCTTGTGAATTTTGGCATAGGCCGTGTCGAGAGAGGCTTGAGCACTCGAGGACTCATCATTAAGGAAAAGAGCTGTCTCGAGCACCCTCATCACAACGGTCGCGTCCTCGACCAAGTGCTTCCGACGAACCTCCTTGTCTTCAGTCAAGATTGCCTTCCTCTCCTCCTCGTGCATGCCGAGGGAGTTCTCCTCGTTGAAGAGATCACATTTTAGATAGCAAGGAGGCAATACAAAGACCCTCGCGGGCGCTTTGTCACCCTCGGGCGTTACGCCCACAGCGTTATCTACACGCTTCCTCTTAGCCCCGAGCTCGTTGACGGGAATCTGGGCCGGTTCAACAGAGGAAGCATGATTTTTTGATGAGGAAGGGAAACCACTGGCCCGACCGACAAATTTGGCCTATTCCAGAAGCTGGGTGACTCTGTTTTTTGGCCTATAAGTGGATGCGTTCTTGGGCCTCAGCTTCAACAGACGCTCAGAAACGGATGCCATTCGACCTGCAATAAAAAATAATCCTTAGTCGAGTTGGAAAAATTAAAAATAGCGTGAGCACGTCCCCGCATAAAGAGGATCAAATTAACTAGGCTACGCCCCTTACCCAAAAGCCTCATGGCTTCCCCATTTGAGGAGTACTTGAGCAAGGCCTTCGTATTGATCAACCTATTTACTAAAAGATACCCCCCTCGTCGTTGAACAAGAGGTTGTTGTTTACATCCACACACTTCGCAGGGGAGAAACTCTTGACATAGGCTGACAACTTCTCATAGGAAAGCTGGTCTTGGGCGTCCAAGTCCTCGGGTTTCACTGCATAGTATTCATGCCTTTGTTCATAATGCTTCCACTGCTATTCGAGTGGGAATCTGGCCATAAGTCGGGTAACTGGCCGCCCATCCTCCACCTCTTCCACACAGGTATACAGGGAATCTATAGCCGCGTTCGTCAGGGGCTTCATGACAAAGTACCTCTCTTTGAAATTTCAGACGGACTCCAGGTAAGGCGGGAAGAGTTTCCCGAACTGCTTGAAGGATACCCATGCCTTCCCCCCTCTGACAAATTGTCTTTGGAGGTGAAAGATGCGTAAAAAAATGGCAGCGTGGTGCCTATCCCTAGATACTGGCAGACGAGCTCAAACTCCCGCATAAACGCTAGCGCATTCGGATGGATTTGAGAAGGCGCCAATTGAAGCCACTGGAAAACCCCAACCTGGAAATCATTGAAGGGAAAGTGCATCCCCGCCTCTTTAAAAGCAAATTCATACACGGGGAACCGTTTTCCCGGATACGTCGAGCATATTCTTCAGTCCCAATGGGGAATTTAGAGCATCCAATTGGTGAGGGCCCCTTCTGCGTGTTCCTCCGGGCAATTGAATGCATCCATCGCATCTTGGGAAAAGCACGATCGTGTATCCCGAGGCTCAGGAGTGACCCAAGCCAAAGGGTCCTCGTCAGTGTGGGGCTCGCCTTTGTGATTGGCGGCTGGAATTTCGTCCCCGACTGAGCGCACCATTATACCATAAAAGCAGGGGAAATTAGTGAATTTGACATTATCAAATCCACCCTTCCACCACAGATCAAGTTAAAGGGCGACGAGCTCGACCCAAGCCCTCGACTACACGCTAAAGTGGACCATTACATTGGGAGGATATGTTATCGGGGGGATCACTCATCGAGCGGGAAGCCCGAGATAATCCATATATCCGAGGAAACCATCCCCTATCACAGACATTGTTCGGGGAGGCCGCCCCGACACTATAGCTAATGAACTTCATAGTGTCTGACACATTCATGAATGCTCGACACATAATCCATGAACTCCAATGAACATTCATGAGTATTCATCATAAAACTCATGAATGTTCATCCAATCAAGGCATAATTTTGACATTTAATCCAGGAACGCTTAAGAAATATGGTGTTGAGAGGTTTATAACTTACTTGGATGAAGAACTTGAAAAGAATCTGAGAAGTTAAGAGGATTGCTTCGCGCAACGAGCAAGGAAATATGGGAAGTTGAGAGGATCGCTTCACACCACGAGCAAGAGAAGGTTGAGAGGAAACTTGAGAAGATGACAAATGAGACTCAGGGGCCCTTTTTTTTATAGGTGACCCACACTCCAAGGAGTCCCTCATGAAAGGTCATCATTTCATTGGGCCTTTTTGCTTTTCCCTTGAAGGGATGGCATCCCAAAACATTAGCCACGTGGCTCAACTGTCAATCACGCGTCCCTTCTGGACTGACGAGCATACGCCCGACTTTTACGAGTTATCCCCATACGCGCACGAGGTAAGTACCCATGCGAGGAAATGCTCGACATTAGAGTGTATATAGAGGCACATCCATTCGACCACCTCGGGGATGAAGTAATGCTCGACAATCCAACAACTCCCTCAAGACGGGCATGTCAAAGAGAATCTCGCAGAGGCTCCCCATCACTAATACGTCCTCTCGAGCAAGCGGTTGACCCCTTCGGTCTCGCTGCCCGCTCATCCATGATATCCCCCAACGTACTCGAGCTTGTCCCCTATGCGGGCAACAATTTATTCCGTTCAAGGGACTTTGACCGTCTACCTCGATCAAGTCTCCGGTATCGAGAGCTGAACTCAAGTCACCGCCCTCTTGCTCAAGGGAAATAACTTGGGGGCTCCTGATCTGGATTAGACCTACACTTGCCCTTCGAACGAGAAGCCCAAAGACAACCCAAGTTAGGGACCGTTGAGCAACTCCACATCCAACCGTTGGAGGACGTGGCCCACGATCCCATGACAACCATCTTAAACTGTCATCTGGAAATCACGGGTCCAATCCTATTCTCGCGGAGCAGTTGACCAAGGGGGAATTCACTTGCTGGACTCCATACACATGTAAGTCCTGGAAATTCCTGTTATTGGGCCTCAACGTGGCCCAATAGTGAGAACCTTAGTCCAACGATGGGGGCTATAAATACCGTCTCTCCTAAGAGGGTCAGGTATTCAATTCATCTCTCTAAACTCATACTTGCTTGCTCATTCCGCAACTTACTTTTTCATCGTAGTGCCTTGTAGGTACCCCTCCATCTCATTCAACTTCTGCCTACTTCTGCCTGAACCAACTGTGACGGTCTATTTCTGATCCGGTAAGATCAAAAGCGCTGCCTTAGATGTGTTGTCTAATCTTATTTTTGACGTAGTATATATCTCGGGTCACTGTAAACAGAGGATGAATCGAGTGTTAGGATTAGGCATATTCAATAGATTATAGTTTTTGATTCTATTTTGTTTATTTTTCATTGATTTAGAAAATAATTGTTGTACTATTATATTCGATTTCTATAATATTCGATTCATTAACGCATTACTTAGTTCTATAATATTTATTTTTGGTTAATAAAATTATCATATTTTTAATAGTTATGAAATTGATTAATAAAATTTAAAATATTTATTAACAAAATTATAAAATTAGTTAATCATATAATTTTATATCCGAACTCTCTTAATTTTAAAAGAATTTGTTTTAAAAATAAATTATTATAATACTTCATTGTTCTTAGGATATGTAAACATAGAAATATGGTATACATGTAAACTATTTGCGTAAGAATATCACTTTTCAATAATCTACTACCCACGCTGACTTATATTAACTGTACCTTAATGTACACAAGTTACATGAAGTTTACAAAATATGGAGCGGCTTTGTTTACGAATCATGCCTCAATGTTAGCCACAGTAAAATAGAAAGAAGTTGAGAGTAGCATGGACCATTTGCAATTGGGGGCTACTCCTAAATGATCTGCCCTCGTCAGTTTCAACTACGGTCTTAATTTAACTATGATAAACCCTTAAGAATTCACTAAAGTGGAAACATAGTAGGTTTAGGTAACTATGATAAGGTATGGTTAAATTTCTCATATAGCTAGTAATATATTCATATTCTCATACACAATTTCATAAAAAACTGTTATAAAGTCATGTAGTTTATAGATAAGAAAACATTCATATTACATAAGCCAAAGGAGAAACCATTGGCAGTTAACATAACAAACACCCACTTATTTATTAGCACTAACAAACAACACTTTAAAAACACACTTTTTTCAAACCTAAAACAAAACACACAACAACTAAGAACACACATCTTCATTTTTTCAGTCATTCCTAAACTTAGACTCATCAATCTCAATGCCTTCCTCTGCAGCACGTTGCTCACCAGATTTCTCCATAGTGCTTAGCCCTCCTTTACGTCCCATTTCTTGATACCCTTCTCTCCCCATCTGCTCTTTCCTCGTCTGCCCTCCCTTGGTTCCCATCTCATGATATCCTTCGGACCCTAACTGCTGCTTCCTTGTCTGCCCTCCACGGCTCCTTCCTTCAGCAAGGTGTTGTTGAGCTTCAAGGCTCTTTCCACCAGTTCCACCAGGAACAACAGTTTCACCATGCCTTGCTTTCTCCTCAAGTTCTTCTCGGTTTTGTTTCTCAGATGCCATGCTATCTATCAGTATCAGACTCAGGTTTTTTGTTCTTCTTGTTCACAACGATGTGAGAGGAAAGAATGCGTCATGGTTTTATTTATAGTGCAAAAGTTGCATGGAAAGTAGTAAACTAATGCATGCCAATGAATAACTAAATTTAGGAAAAGATCGGTTAGAACTATGACGGACACGTGCAACAAACGTGGCTTTAGGACAAAGACGACACATGCCACTGTGAAAATGGTGAACTCTAGAAAGGTAGCAGTCGGTTGCGGTGGTCTCTATCATATGACTGTTTTTTTGAGTTTGGAGGCCGAAAATGAGAGTGCTTTGAGAGAAATAGAGAGTTAAATTTCAGAATGTTTTTTAAATAATTAAAACAAATTTTTATGATTGATTAATATATAATATATTGTTGGCATGTTCCTGAGAGGCCAACTCCATCAAAAGTGTGTTTGTTTGTGGTAACTGGTAACTAGTATTACTCAATCAAATCTTAGCTAAAATAACACGGCAAGAAATATGAGTAGAGAAGTAACTATATATTACGAACCTCATTCCATATCTTTCATAATAATTAAAATATAAACCAATAAGAAGTATATGACGGTTATATATTATTGACATATTTTCTTTTTCTTAGCAATAAAAGAATTTTATTCCCAAAACAGATCAAGTACAAAGCCGACCATTACGGTCCAGGCACCAAAAAGACTAAATATTCAAAGAGGTTAAACTAACATAACACAACCTTATAAACTATGACAAAAATCTATATAAGTTTTCTATCCAACTCAGCACGCCACGTAATTGTATCCATAATTTCTTGAACTCGCAGCCCTTCTCTAGTGCCACTTTCAAAGATGATTTTGTTTCTTGTGTTCCACACTTGATGAATGGTCTCAGCAACAACAATCATGATAAACTTTGAGACATTTCATTTCCTGTGAGTTATCTTGACAAGCCAACTCATCTCTTTGTTCCAATCTTCCAGAACATGGATAAGGTACTTCCAATTGAGGATTTGGGACTTAGTTTTCACACACTCAAAAAATAAGTGCAGGCAGTTTTTCATTTCTCTATAGTTGACACACAAGTCATCTATATTCGTCTTAAATTTTCTCTTTTTGTCTTTTTTCGAGATTATCTTTTGGCAAGTCATCCACAAACAAAACTTTGCTCTATAATGCGTAAGATTTTTAAATATCAGCTTCCTCTACACCATTTTTGGCTTAACCCCTCTCAGCATATGATATATATTTCTGGTTGTTAGATTTAATCTATATTTTAAGATATTTTTTGGATAATAATTTATATTTTAAAAACATCTTTTTAAAAGATATTATTACATCTTTTTATATCTTTGTTAAAAGATATTTAATATTTTATTTGTGTATAAATAGCCTAGTGAGGTAATTCAATGTAATTTATTTTAAATTATTATTTCTTATTTTGTAGCCGTCATTTAATAATATTCTTTTTGCCTTTCATCACTTCTTGTGCACCAAGAATTGGTATCTAGAGCTCCAGTTCGAAATCTACCGGAAAAATGGGAAACACGAGAGAACAATGAGGTGTTGTGTGATAATCGTTGTTTCTGATTCTGGAGATTTGAGAAACACTGCTTTATTGAGTTTCTGCGTAAATTGCACAAGGTAGAAGATGAACGGAAACGGCGGCGATGTCCATTCCAAGCTTTCAATATTTGATGGTAAAAACTAGAATCGTTGAAAGATTCAGATGCGCGTGTTATTGATTCTCAAGATGTGTTAGATCTTGTCACCGATGACTATGATTTATTAGAAGCAGACGCAACAGAGATACAGAAGATAATAAAAAGGCGCTAAGGAAGAAAGATCAGAAGGCGTTGTTCTACATCCATCAATGTGTGAATGCGAACGTGTTTGAGAATATTGGTTATTTTAAAACAGAAAAGGCTGTGTGGGACACACTGGTCAGATACTACGGTGGTCACGTATCAGTGGAGAAGGTGAAGATTCAGTCTCTTAGAAAATAATATGAGAATCTCAACATGAAGGACAACGAGAAGGTTTCTGAGTATATCTCTAGAGTGATTCTGATCACTAATAAGATGAAAGCTTGTGGAGAAACTCTTTCTGAACAAATAATCATTGAGAAGATCTTGAGATCTTTAACTTCTCAGTTTGATTACATTGTGGTAGAAATTGAATATTCTAAAGATATGAGCACCATGAGAGTTGAAGAGCTGCAAAGTAGTCTAGAGGCACATGAGTTGCGTATGACTGCGAGAACTTCTGAGAGGGAAGTAGAGCAGCATGATCTGAAATTAACTTCTGATAAGAACTATCAGAAGCAAACTTGGTCAGAAGCCAGGAAGAAAACTAAGGGTGGTCAAAGGTCAGAAGCTTCAAACTCTGATAGGCAGGAGAATGTCCAGAAGGAAAAGAAGAAATCTGACAAAAAGAATGTTCAGTGTTACTGTTGCAAGAACTTTGGCCACTATGCCAAAGATTGATGGTCAAACAAAGAAAGGAAGTCAGAAGAAGCAAATATAACCAGAGGAGATTCAGATGATGAACATGTGCTATTGTTGGCTTCTGAACCTGATGATCTGAATTTATCATAATGGTGGTATATGGACACATGGTGTTCAAACCATCTTACTGGAAAAAAGAAATGGTTGGTTGATTTTGACTCTGGGAAGAGTATAAAGATCAGATGTGCTGATGATAAATACCTCAATGCAGAAGGTATGGGAAATGCCAGAATCATTCTAAACAATGGGAAAGCAGCAGTGATCCAGAATGTATGGTATGTACCTGGCATGAAAAACAATCTGATAAGTGTGGGGTAACTAATTGAGAAAGGTTTTTCAGTTACCATGAAGGACAATCTTCTGAAGTTATATGACTGTAATCAGGAGTTCATTATAGAGTCAGAACAGGGAAGAAACAGAACATTAAAGGTGGATGTTAGAACTGTAGACTCTAAATGTCTTAGTGCAACAAGTGTTGTCAAGGAGAGTGAGCTGTGGCACAAAAGATTTGGTCATCTGAATTTCAGAAGTTTAAGACATCTGAAATCAAAGAATCTGGTACATGGAATTTCTACAATCAAGAAGCCTGAAATGTCATGTAAGGTGTGCATAGAAGGGAAGCAACCAAGATTACCATTTGCATCAGAAGTAGCTCCAAGAGCAAAAAATGCCTTGGGAGTAGTGCATTTTGATGTGTGCAGTCCTTTTCCAGTAGGATATTCTAGAGGGAATAAATATTTTGTGTCATTTGTTGATGAGTTCACCAGAATGACATGGGTATCTCTCATAAAGTTTAAACACGAGGTGTTTGCTGAATTCAAGAAGTTCAGACTGAAGGTTAAGAATCAGAGTGGCCAGACTCTGAAGATTCTTAGAACTGATGGTGGTGGTGAGTATAACTCCACAGAATTCAGAAGATTCTGTGAGGAGAATGGAATTGAGCATGAGGTTACTTCTCCCTATACTCCTCAACACAATGGTCTTGCTGAAAGAAGAAATCATACTTTGCTCGATATGGTGAGAAGCATGCTGAAAGAGAAAATGCTTCCTCATACTCTGTGGGGAGAAGCTGTTGCAACTGCATGTTATGTACTCAACAGATGTCCAATGAAGAAATTGAAGGAAATCGTTCCTATTCAGAAGTGGACTGGAGATAAGAAAAGTGTTATTCATCTGAAGGTGTTTGGTTATGTATGTTACAAACATGTCCCAGAAGCTAGAAGACAGAAGTTGGATGATAGAAGTAAAGTGATGTTGCTGGTGGGGTACCACAGTACAGGTTCGTACAAACTTTATTGTACAGAAACTAACACAGTTGAGTTCATAAGAGACGTCATTGTAAAGGAATCAGAAGTTTGGTATTGGGAAAGGTCTCGTCCTGACTCTGATGAGAAAACTCTTAAAGAAAAGTCAGAAACACATGTTTCTGAAGCTGGTAAAGACTCTGACTCTGAAGAAGATACAGAAGGAGAAGATGATTCTGACTCTGACTCCGATGGTGATCCAGACTCTGAAGACAGTCAAGGTTTTGGAGAAAGTCCAATTTCTGAAGCAAGTGCTTCTGAAGGGGGAAGTGTAACGCCCGTTAATTAAATTAATTATTTAATTAAATTATATTTTTGAATCATTTGTGATGTTGCGTGATGTTAAGAATTATTGGTGAGAGTTGTTGGGATTATTAATTAATTAATTAGTTGATTAATAATAATTCTTATGTTGGGATTAATGAAATATTATTTAAGTGATGGATTGATTAAGTGGTAGAAATATTATAGTATTAATTTATTAGAAATAAGAATAGAATTAGTAATGGGCTTATGATGTGGCGTCAAGAAGTAAAAGCGGGGTGTAGAATTTAGGCCCAAATGAATTTATTTGGATTAATAGAATAATATTATATTATTATTAGAAAATAAGAGAGGAAAGAAGTTGGTTATCAGTAAGAATAGGAAGAGGAAAATATGGTTTTTGGAGAAGAAGAGAGATACGTGAGGTTGAACTAAGAGGCCAAGAGGAGATTCAATTGGAGACGCATAGAGTTGCCTTCAAACCAAACCAGATAAGGGTGGATTTTCTTATCCTATAATGGGGCTTATGAGGAATTGTATGTGGGGATTTAGGGTATAAGTTATTACTGTCTGTGTTTGGTTATGGAAATTGATGTTAGGAATTAATTAGTGATGAATATTGGTGAAGCTTTCGTATTCTTGTGTATTATGGATTGATTGTTCTGTTGAAAATGTGGATCGAAGGAAACTGCAGGAATTTTGAAGAATTATAAGGGGCATGCCGATCGTCACCTTGTAGTGGTGAGGGATGCCAGTAAGCAACCTTGAGAGAGAGAAGAGAGTGTCGTTCGGCACTAGGTTTTGTTGTTGAGAAGAGTGTCGTTCGATACTGAGTGTTAGGCACAGGGGCACTTATTTTTGTTTTCTATTTTCTGTGGCACTATGTTATATAATTTTTATATGGTATCAGTATAGAGTTTATTAATATG